GTGTGGCAGGACTTCAGTGTCATGTCATTAAATTGTATGTTGAAGTTGTTTTCTTGATAGCTTAGGTTACATTTCACCTCATGGGTTTTTAGGGGGAATTTGACTTTGCACGCCACTTTTTGGAGCATATTGGACTTTGTAACCCATTTTCAAAAAACTTTGACTTTGCACCTAATTCCCCTTAAATCCTTTGACTTTGCACCCCATTCAGAAATATTTCTTCACAAAATGTTATGTGTTGGGGTGCAAAATCAAAGTTTTTTCAAAATGGGGTGCAAAGTCCAATATCACCCAAAAAGTGGGGAACAAAGTCATATCCCCCCTTTTTATTATATTAAATCGAGTTTGTAAATTGCTTGCTAAAGCTCATGATAATGAATTTACAGAAGTCTAACACAATTCAATTTTCATAGGCTTGAGACCAAATTCTTGAATGTTGGGGATGAACTTCATAAGGAAACTATTCCTCTACAGTCAGGATCTCGTCTCTACCATTTGCAGGGACTGAAGTCTCACACTTGGTATGAAGTGAAGATATCTTATCCTGCATCTGTATGTACGTCTTTCCTTATATTTTTCACTTTCCAATTTTCAATTCCTAATCTTTCAACACTAAATAAATTAGTATGTTGAATGGTTAACAGATGCCCGCTATTTTTTCCTTACAACTGAAGAGAGGTTGTTCAAAGTTTGAGTCAAATCAGGGAAGAAAGTTATTGAATACTGAAAAGTTAATTTTCAAGACCAGTAGCTTGGACTTGCTAAATAACCAGGCAAGTTCTCTAACAAAGTCTGATTCTCTCCGCCCAAAATTAAATGCTATTTATCCAAAAAACTGTCGAAGAACTATTTTGTTTCAGGAATCACTGAATGTTTATTTGTTACTCCATATTATTATTAAGAATCTTTCAAATTTCTCAAATTGACTTAGACCAAGTACTGCTTAAAATGTTGTGCTTTGAAAAGAAGAAAATGTGTTAATGCTAAGCTTAATTAAAAATAGGTTTCTTAGTATGTGAACACTTTTCTAAAATGTGAATATTTTGGCACACATAAGGTAATTCTTTCAGATGCATAAACATATATCATTTTAAATAAGAAGTTTTGTGCAGGATGCTATGTTTATTCTGGTAACTGTGGAGCCTGAAGGGTTTGTTGCAATACCTGGAGTGCAGGAAAGAAATTTCATCATGTTTAATATAGGTACATGAAAGTTGAAAGTATGCTTGACATATATGCCCGTATAGCCCCATTTTTAGATTCTTGAAAAAGTCACATGTTGCCCAATTTTCTAGATTTCAGTGCTCTAGAAAAATCTCACGCTTTTGCATGTTCCTTTCACAATTTCCTTTCACAATTTCACTCTTTATGATATGCCTTAAGCCGACAATGTATTCCCTTTTCCCACTAACAAATATGTAGTATAAGTATATAATATTTTGGGATCAGGGCTCCTACCAATGGCATAGCAGGAGAGGAAATTGGGGTGGCCTGCATATCTATATCATTTTTATGTGTATCTTATATCTATGTTATGTGTATCTTATATCTATTTTATATATTATCTTTTTGTATCTTTTTATCATATATATCTTATTATCTTTCTTATCTTTCATTTCCTTTGGTTCCGATATCATGTATCAATTCATGTTAGACGACCCTAAAATCCTTTGGGAATAAGGCTTGGATGTTGTTGACTTGTTGTTGCATACAGATGTTTTTACATGTAAGATTAAAGGGCTTTACCAAAATTGGGGTGGGCCAGAGCACGGGTTGGCCCCCATTTGGCCACGCCCATGGGCCGTCCCACCACCTCCAGTCCCAGACTCCCACACACTATCTATTATGTTCCCGACTTGATCAGTGTGTTGGTATATAAATGTATGTTAACACTCCGTATGGGGGTAGGACCGTAGGACAGTAGCATTTGGTGTTTACAATTTGTCATACACGGAGTACAAAATTTGGCATATGGATTTGTTAATTGTTGTTTAGTGGATTGTGTTTACAAGTATTCGCAGTTCTCTAATGCAAGGTAAACTCCATTGCAGTGTGTGATGAACTATATTTGGGCATTCCACAGAAAGCGTGGTACGTTGTTGTGTTGGTAATACTGTGCTTGGTAGTCTCATTTGCCATCCCATCATTTCTTCCACCGCACCTTCTACCAAGGAACTCAAAGAAGAAATAAATATAGCCGTTGATCAAATTATTGTTTAGGATTGTCAAATAGGCTGTGTACTTCGCGGGTGATCGATTTGCTCGTGTCTTACTTTGTTTATTATTTCTGTTCAGTCTCTCACGCATAAGCAATTTTTACAATTTTTGCCTTATACTTTGTGACTTTGTGTAGTGGCAGATTATGTTCTGTGACTTGAAATGTTCTAAAAAACGTCATAGGTCTTGGTGGATGAGGCCTAAACCGGCTGATTAGACATGGTTAGAGGGTTCAATTCAAAACAAAAGCGCATGTACTCAAGAAATGTCTTGTGGAGACCAATGTTCGGATGTTCCGATTCCCAAAGTGCATTAATGCTTGGGTGAAAATGGAAAAAGTATATTTAGTGGCGGGCCAAATAAATCAAAAGGATGGGTGTATGCCTGGACTCGGGCCGGTTCGGGCCCGGGCCGAGGCCCGACCGGGACGGCGGTTCTGGAATGGGGGGCCCGGGACCGGCCCGGGTAATCACCGGGTCCAGTCCGGGCCTCGGATATTTGTGTTTTTTTTTCTCCTTTTCCTAGTTAACCCCCAACCCCCCCCCCCCCCCCACCCCAAACCACCCGAAATGGCCCAAAATACCCAGTCCAACCAGAAAAGTAAAAAAAATTGAAAAAAAAAATTAAGAAGGCCCGGACCCGGGCCTGAACTGGCTGGGCCGGTTCAGGATTTGGGGGACCCGAGCCCGGACCGGAACACCCGCGGGTCGGGCCTACCCGAATTGGTCACTGACCAGGCCAGGCCGGAACAGTGTTGGTTCGGGCCGGTTCCGGGTCAGGCCACCCGGCCCAAGTCCAGGCTTAGATGGGTGTATTTGCAACACTCCACTGGAGAAAGGAAAAAGTAATTTAAAAAATTTGAGGAGAGGAAAAACAATTGCTCCTCTGCGGTAAAGAAAAAGCATTCCTTGCACGCTGCTGTTTCAAATGGTCGCACGGGTCTCAAAATGGTCTTTGTGCTAGACGCTTTAAATTGCCAATTTTAGGTTTTATAAGTCCATATACTTATGCATTGGATAGTGCAATAAAATGTAAATTTGCTTAGGTGGGTTCCCAATTTACCTCCCCATTGGCATTTGGAAATGCCATGAGAACTGATGACATTTTGCATTATTTTTTAATATAATTACTTCGATGTCAGTATCAACATATTCAAACAATTTATTAATATCAGTAGTCAATTTTAATGTTAGCAAACGGTCCCCAACATTGTCTTTTGTTGATAGTAATGAAATTGAAAGGTCACTTTAAAAGCACAAAGAGTGCATCGATAGTTATTCTAAGAAAAACTTTTGAGTAGCATGCTAGCATAGTAGCATCTATGTATGCTAACCAGGAACAAAAAAATGTAGCCGACTAAATATACATCTTACTTTAAACTAAATTTTATATTTTTAGAATGAAGAGTATTTTTGTTTGAATCAAGAAATCGTACTTTGAGCCGATACAAGAAATCGTACTTTCTTATAAGTTATAAGTGGCAATACAACACATATGTTCAAACCAAATATAAACATTTTAGCCTTGTCAATAGTATATTAAGATGCCAAATATAAGCATTTCCACCTTGTCAATAGGATAAATCCGGTAGATCAAAATCCTTGTTGGGTGTGTATTTCAGCTCAAGTCTCCAACTAAAACAACTCACACACACTCCAGGATGTTTAGCCACTCCACCTAGATTTAGCCTCTCACTCTCTTCTCACCTCTATAGCTCTCACTCACAAAGAAGAAACTATCACTCAAAGAGGACAAGGGAGGAAGAAGGATCACACTCTCACTTACTCACACAAAGGAGGAGAAAAAGCTCTCTGACTATTACCTAGTGTATTTACACCACACTCACAGAAGAGGGGAGACTCACTTAGATATAATAGGATGCTGGCCACTTGACAACTCACAAGTATTCAAGATAAACAAGGGGACCCCAAGCACAAGACAATGAATAGTGCAGTAGGTGAGGGCAGGCCTATGGTCAACGATAAGTGAGGAACGGAACGGAATATGTGAAATAGGTAATGAACTGAGCTACTAAGGCAAACAGGAGTAGGGCTAAATTTGGGGTGCATGCCTTAACATAATACTCCCTCCGTCCCTTATTAAACTTCCAAATAGGTTTGGCACACAGTTTAAGATAATGAGTATTGTGTGGTGGAGAGTTGTGCAGAGAGAGAAATGTGTAAGAATTGTTGTGAAGCACAAATTAGGGCCAAAAAGGGAAAGTGGGAGTTTTAATTGGGATGGACGAAAAAAGAAAGTTAGAAGTTTATTTAGGGACAGAGGGAGTATAAGTGAAGGGAAGGCCTTGGTAGGACCAATACCTACAACAATCCCTAGATAAAATGTACTTATTTCTCATCCCTAGATAGTACATACACATGCCTTGTTTTACCTCTTTACCACGAGTTAGAACTTTTGGTTGGCTTAATATATAAGGAAATCAGACTTCTATCTTTCCAACTCCAATTGAAAAAACAATCTCAAAAGGTTATATTCCACAAAAATATAATTTATAAACTGAGAAATTATCGTAGGTAATAAGTTATAATCCCCAAAGATATTTCAAATTCCTTGCAATCACAATTCCACATAATCAGAACATGTTTGGTTAAGAGGAACTTGACTGATTTCACTTGCTATGCTTGAAATTCGGTTTTACACTTGTTTGGTTAGATAATTATATTTCAATCACTATCTTAAAGGGCATCACACGGATCACCGACCTTTGTGTTAACTTCACTATGATCAATTGTAATCAGTGTGCTTTGTCCACCTGTTGGTGCTAGTCTTCTAATCCAGTCTTATTTTATTCCACTAAATATGAAATACTTCCTTTGATTTCAAGAAAATAAAATTAAATACAACGTAGCTACTTCTCTGTTATAAATATGGAAACTACTAAAAAGGAATAACATAATGGAAATACATAAGAGAAAATTACAGAGAAGAAAAAATATAGGACAAGAATCATAAATAAAATGACAGAAAATTGGCTATACAATCTATGGTGTAAGCAATCCAGAAAATTGGAGGTAAATGAGTTAGTACTATATCTGTTCACGCCACAACAAAGTGGAAGAAAAAATGGAAAACAAGGAAACAGATAACTCATCTGAGAACCACATTCAATTTGCTCTGCACTTGCTCTCTTACTTTCCACTGCATCCAAAAAATACACATACATTGCACGAAAATTTAGGAAACAAAAAATGGGGAATTGGTTGAGAGAATGGGCAATTGGGGGCCTGTGTGAACCTGCAATTCATTTATTTCTTCATCAGTGAGTGAACGCTCCATGGACCGGTATGCAATTCTATAGCAGTGACTCGTCATTCCTTTCTTATTCGTGAAGTTATCTATTAGACGAACCTGAAATTAGAATATGGGCCCGTGATGCGTTAGGTCTCAATTGTGAAATCCTACATAGCATTGTATTCTATTCCATACACCATACCACAACAAATCCAAAGCTTTGGTTCAATATGAGCTTTCATATTACCTCCATCCCATTGAACATTGACTACTTTGAATTCGGTGAGAAATAAGAAAAGTAAAAATTATCTGATTGATGTTTATGCACAGAAGAGAGAAATGAACGAAATCACAAATTAATTACTTTAATGAGAAAATGCCAAAGTTTTTGGGACAACCAAAAAAGAAAAGTTGGCAAAGTTCAATGGGACAAAGGGAGTATATTTTTTCACTCTTGGGCGTAGAAGGAATTCCTAAGATAAACCGTTCTTGATAACTGAATAGTAACCAATACAGGCATACTTGCATAAATTAAAGGATATAAGCATCAAAATAGTGTTGCCTTTTCATATAACATTTACTTATCATGGATTAGGTGGATAGGACACATCACTGCTAGCTTTAATGTTTATCTAACAAACAACCCAAATGATGACTTCTAGTAAAGGTTTTCGTTGTTTTAGTTTAGGGTGATGATGATTTCGATTAATGATGAGGATGTTGTTGTTGTTGTTGTTTTAGTTTAGGGTGCTACTACAGCTGGTTCGAGAGCTTATCCCAACAATATACTCCCTCCATCCCTTAAAACTTTGTCATCTATGAATTTTTTGGTCAATTATTTTCAACTTTGACCAATAATATTTTTATAGGAAATTATTTATAATATAAAAATGATATAAAAAATATTCTTTGTTAAAAGTACTTTCATAAAAGTTAGATTTTATAACTTCCATATTATTATACTACCCCCGTTCTTAAATAAATGCAACACTTTGACTTTTACACTATTCACATGTTCTACTTTGACTACGTTTTATTTATTAATGTAATAATATTTTTTTATGAAAAAAATATAGTTAAACTTGTCTCATTGTAAATTTTCATAATCTATTTTTTTAAACTTTTTTACTAATACAAAATCATATATATTAATGGTCAAAGTTGTGTCTCGATAAGTGTGAAATGTTGACCGTTGCATTTATTTAAGAACGGAGGAAGTACTAACCAAAATCATGATCCAAACTTTACCACCATTCACTTGAAAAGTCAAAGATGCCGAAGTTTGAAGGGACATAGGTAGTAATATTGGATGTAAAATTCAACATAATAATGAATACATAAAATTGTCATTCTCTGCAATGTATAAAAGCATGGACATAAATTTAGCATACCTCCTCCACAAGATCCCCAGCAATTCCTCTAACAACTTCACAAAGGTTGTTTTCGGTGAATGAATCACTGATCCAGAAGCTCATGTCTTTGTAGCACGGAGGATACTGCAATGTCAAACACAGTTGCATGCGTTAATTCTTGAAGTACACAATAATAGTAAGGATTGAAACAACATGTATTAAAATGGTTTTTGAGAACACATATGTTTCAGCAACATATTTATATGCTATTCTTAATTAAAGGAGCACTGTAATTAAGAATGAAAAAGTAGGAAACTGATGCACTATAATTTTAACTCCTTAATATTTAATTGAAGAGAGAATTTAGAGGTTCACAGTTGAAAATTCTCTTTGTTGTTCTATACCGGTAAGGATTACTGATAGGGATAATGGAAATCAGCCCATTATTAATAATAGTGTTGATTATTTTGACCAGGTGTACTCGAGAAGGAGAAAGAAGAGTATTAAATAGCTACCTTTTGTATAAGGGGTTGGGGTATTACTATAAATAAGTAGCTATTGTAATAAGAGGTAGGCTGGTTTTGGCTTTTGTTGGGCTGGGACTTGGAGAGAGGCATCTCTTAAAACTGCCGGACACTTTTCTCTCTCTTGTCTGTTATACGTACTCCCATTACTGTTTCTCTCTCGTTTTTCTCCATTGTGCTGCTCGGATTACTCTGTTACAGGTAGGGTTGTAAACGAATCAAATAATTTTTGCTCGATTCGCGATTCGAATTCGTATAACACTATTCGAATTTGAAAAATTCAAATACAAATACAAATAAGAATACTAAATTTGATTCGAATTGTTATCAAATACAAATAAGAATATCAGTGTATTCGATTCGAATATTAATCAAATATATTCGATTAATAATAGTAATATTATTATAATAATATTAATAATAATAGTAATAACACTATAATAACTTTTAAAAGATAGCTATACACTCAAAGGGTAGTCCATATATACATTTATGTATACAAATTTCAAGCGCATTTGTAATAAATCAGAAGTATCATACGGAGTAAGCATTGTAAATGAAGCAAATAATTTTAATTTCCTTCGTGGTTTGGATTCAAAAAATATGATTTAAATTTGAAAATATAGAATATAAATACGAATACAAATCAGATTTTTGGTTCAAGTACGAATACAAATAATTATGTATTCGATTCAAAGAATAAAATTATAGGCATTTGACTACGATATATGAAGTATACGTACAATTATCAACTTGTTTCAAACATTATAAGTATAATTTCTAATATGTGTGTGTTAGTGTTTATCGTATAATGGATCGATACATTTATAGGTTGTGTACAATATACTAAAGTCAATCAATTTTATGATTAATAAATATAAATTTATAAATGTATCGATCCATTAAATTTCAAAGATAAATGTACTTTTTAAAAATTAAATTTTTAAAACATATATTACGTCATAGCATGCATTTATAAGAAAATTACTTTAAAGTGATATTTGACTAATATTTAACTTATGCTCAAATCGATTCGATATTCGTATATGATTCGTTAAATATTCGTATTGTTAAACAAATACAAATACAAATCAAAATTAATATTCGTTTCATATTTGAATTCGGATTCGTATTCAAAAAAATTAAACAAATACAAATACAAAATCTCACTATTCGATTCGATTCGGTTCGTATACAACCCTAGTTACAGGTTGGATCCCTATCATTGGTATCAGAGTGTGATCGCGAGACCTGTTTATGGTTGCCACCAGACGGAAAATGGAAGGCCGATTGGAGATTCTGGAGCGCGAACTGGCGAGGCAGTCGGAGAACATAGAGCGCGAACTGGAGAGACATCACGAGGAGGCTAGAATCCGTAGCGAGGAGGTTAATCGCAATATTGAGATGATGATGAAGAAGCTCGATCGCAACTCTCGCAGACGTTCTAAAACTTCCAAAACAAGTACGCGGAATAGTAGTAGCGAATCCAATTCATCGGCAGGTAAACCTCGATCGATATCTTCTAAGCGTGATGGTAACTACAATAGATGGATTGAGAAATCTGGAAGAAAAGTGGATTTGCCACTTTTTAATGGAACCGATGCTTATGGATGGACCATTAAAGTGGAACGATTTTTCAAACTGAACCGTATTGACGAAGAGGATAAAATTGAGCTAGTTACTTTAGCCATGGAAGGAAGGGCGTTAAATTGGTATCAATGGTGGGAGGAACACGCTAATGTAAGAAACTGGGAACTGTTTAAGGAAGCCTTGCTACAGAGATTTGAACCTGGATTGGAACAGGATCCTTATGGCCCATTGCTGAGTGTGAAGCAAACTGGAAGTGTAATGGAGTATAGGGATGAGTTTGAACTAGTGGCAGCTCCTTTGAAGAATACTGATGTACAATTTCTCAAGGGAGTTTTTATGAAAGGGCTGAAAGCTGAAGTAAGAGCTGAACTGAAGCTGAACCCGGTCAGAACCTTGGCAGAAGTAATGAATAAGGCTCAGAGGGTAGAAGAAAGAAACCTCGCGCTGAATACAATCAGGAATAAGGATGATGATAGAAGGGGCACAAAGGGGAATGTTTCCTCCCAATCTCACAGATGGTTGCAGGAGAACAAATGGAAGAGTAACCTGACTAACCAACCTGGTATTGACAAATCCAATAATGAGAAGAGCAATGAGGCAGTCATTAAGAGTACAGGAATGAAAGGAACACATAGACTAACTCAGTCTGAGTTGCAGGAATTGAGCAGAAAGGGGCTTTGTTTCAAGTGTGGGGAACAATGGGGAAAAGGCCACATTTGCAAGATGAAACACTTTCAGATTGTGATGCTAGATGATTCTGAGGAGGAGGAGGAAGAACAAGGAGGGCACAGTTTGGAAGCTTCACCTGAGATGGAAACAAGTGAACCCTCAAAAATGCAGTTGTCACTGATGAGTAAAGAAGGTCTGACTACTCCAAGGACTTTTAAATTGAAAGGGGAAATACAGGGATGCAGGGGAAGCAAAGAGGTAGTGATATTGATAGATTGTGGGGCCACTCACAATTTTGTATCAGCTAGGGTGGTGCAAGAAGTAGGAATCCATGTACTACACATTCCTGAGTTCAGAGTGGAAATTGGAAATGGGGATCAGATTGTAAATAATGGAAGATGTGAGGCTTTATCAGTTGAGGTACAGCAGATCATTATAACCCAAGATTTCTACACCTTGGATTTAGGGGGAACTGAAATTGTTCTGGGAATGGAATGGTTGTCTGGCAAGGTGGTCAGTCCAGGAAGCTGAAGGGGGATCCACATTTGAGCAGAACTGAGGTATCTTTGAAAAGCCTGGTCAAAGCTATGCCTAAACAGGAGGAGGGATATTACTTGTATCAAGCTGAGAGACTAAAAAGGGTGGAAGATAATCAAAGCAGTCAAGTTTGGATTCAGAAATATAAGGCAGAATTTCCTGAGGTTTTTAAGCCCTTAGAGGGTTTACCTCCCAAAAGGGACTGTGATCACTCTATCAACATCAAGGTGGGCTCAACCATTCCTAATATCCGACCTTATAGATACCCACAGTATTTAAAGAATGAGATGGAGAAGGTAATTCAGGAGTTGTTACATGGGGGGATCATCCAGCCTAGCACCAGCCCATATAGCAGCCCTGTACTTATGGTCAAGAAAAAAGATGGGGGATGGAGATTTTGTGAGGATTACAGAGCCCTCAACCGAATTACAGTGCCTGACAAATTTCCCATTCCAGTCATAGATGAGCTGTTGGACAAACTAAATACTGCACAGATCTTTTCCAAGCTTGATTTGAAATCAGGCTACCATCAAATAAGGATGAGAGAAGAGGATGTACATAAGACAGCAATAAGAACACATGAGGGTCATTACGAATACTTAGTAATGCCTTTTGGGCTCAGTAATGCACCCTCCACCTTTCAGGCTTTGATGAATAAAGTCTTGAAACCCTACTTAGGAAGATTCGTGCTAGTCTTCTTTGATGACATTTTGATATACAGTTCAACAGAAGAGGAGCATTGGGAGCATGTGAAAAGGGTGCTACAGTTACTGAAAGATAACCAACTGGTGGTGAATGAAAAGAAGTGCTCATTTGGGCAAGCGCAATTAGCTTATTTGGGGAATATTATTTCTAAAGAAGGTGTTGCAGCTGATCCCAGTAAAATTGCTGACATGTTAGACTGGCCATATCCTACTGATGTAAAAGGGTTAAGGGGATTTCTAGGGTTGACTGGCTATTACAGAAAATCCGTCAAAGGTTATAGCAGAATAGCATCCCCACTGAATGACCTACTGAAGAAAGATGGGTTTAAATGGACTGGAGAAGCACAAAAAGCTTTTGATGAATTGAAACAAAGAATGACTCAGTTACCAGTGTTGAAAGTTCCAGACTTCAATCAAACTTTCATAATTGAATCAGATGCTTCAGAAAAAGGAATTGGGGCTGTCCTTATGCAGGAGGGGAGGCCTATAGCATACATGAGTAAAACCTTATCTAACAGAAATCAAGGAAAATCTGTCTATGAAAGGGAACTTATGGCTATTGTGTTGGCAGTTCAAAAGTGGAGGCCATACTTGTTGGGCAGAAGATTTGAAATACATACAGATCAGAAGAGCTTGAGATTTATTACTGAGCAGAGAATTTTGGGAGAAGACCAACAGAAATGGGTAACTAAGTTGCTGGGGTACAATTTTGTCATCAAATACAAACCTGGTGTGGAAAACAAAGCTGCAGATGCCTTGTCTAGGAAGGGTTTTTGTTACTCCTTGTCTGTGGTCACTTGCCAGGAGTGGGAAGGGCTGGAGGATGAGTTGAGGGAGGATGAGAAATATAAAGCTATGCTGCAAAAGTTATTGACTGAACCTGATTCCATTCCTCATTTCAAGGTTAGCCAAGGGTTTTGTATTTCAAGGGTAGACTGGTGATTCCCAAGAAATCTGTGAGAATTGATAGCATTCTTAAGGAGTTCCATGAGTCTGCTATAGGGGGGCATGCTGGAAACTTTAAAAAAATGAAAAGGATATCATCTTTATTTTATTGGGAAGGAATGAGAACCGATATTAAGCAGTATGTGCAGAAATGTGATGTGTGTCAAAGGAACAAATATCAGACTCTGAGCCCAGCAGGACTACTTCATCCTCTCCCCATTCCTAATCAAATTTGGACAGATCTCAGCATGGACTTTATTGGAGGACTGCCTAAAGCTCAAGGGAAGGATACTATTATGGTTGTGGTGGACAGATTAACAATGTTTGCACACTTTAAATCATTAACTCACCCCTACAATGCTAAAGGTGTGGCAGAAGTGTTCATTCAGGAGGTTGTCAGACTGCATGGTTTTCCTAAGACTATTGTTTCAGATCGGGACAGTGTCTTTTTAAGTGTTTTGGACTTAACTGTTTAAATTAGCGGGTACCAAGTTAAAATACAGCACTGCGTACCATCCCCAAACAAATGGACAAACTGAGGTAGTCAATAGATGTGTGGAAACCTACCTCAGGTGTATGACTGGGAAGAAACCAAAGCGTTGGCCTCAATGGTTACCATGGGCTGAATTCTGGTACAACACAAATTATCACGTGTCAACCAAGAGTAGCCCTTATAAAGTACTGTATGGGCAGGATCCACCGGTACTGATTAGAGGGGATGTGACCTTGACAGCTGTGGAGGAGGTAAATAGACTGACAGCTGCCAGGAATGAAATGATAGATGAATTGAAGAATAATTTGGCAACTGCACAGAACCAGATGAAGCAACTGGCTGATAGGAAGAGGAGGGATGTTCAGCTTGTGGTGGGGGACTGGGTGTATCTGAAAATTCAGCCTTATAGACTCAAAACCTTGGCTAAGAGGATGAATCAGAAGCTGAGCCCCAGATTCTATGAGCCTTTTGAAGTAATTGAGCAAATCAATCCTGTGGCCTACAGACTGAAGCTACCAGAAGAGTGCAGGGTGCATCCGGTTTTTCATTTGTCATTACTGAAGAAAGCTGTACCCACTTCCACTCCAACACAACCTCTACCCAAGTGCCTAACAGAAGAGTGGGAGCTACAAGTCAAACCAGAACTTATCAAGGGGAGCAGAATTAACTCTTCAGGGCAGACTGAAGTGTTGGTGCATTGGGAAAACCTGCCAGACTTTGAGGATTCCTGGGAAGAAGTGCAGCAGTTGCAGCAACAATTCCCTGATCTCCACCTTGAGGGCAAGGTGGTAGTTTCAGGGGGAGTGATGATAGGGATAATGGAAGTCAGCCCATTATTAATAATAGTGTTGACTATTTTGACCAGGTGTACTCGAGAAGGAGAAAGAAGAGTATTAAATAGCTACCTTTTGTATAAGGGGTTGGGGTATTACTATAAATAAGTAGCTATTGTAATAAGAGGTAGGCTGGTTTTGGCTTTTGTTGGGCTGGGACTTGGAGAGAGGCATCTCTTAAAACTGCCGGACACTTTTCTCTCTCTTGTCTGTTATACGTACTCCCGTTACTGTTTCTCTCTCGTTTTTCTCCCTTGTTTTTCTCCATTGTGCTGCTCGGATTACTCTGTTACAGGTTGGATCCCTATCAATTACAACCTTTTGTTTTGAGGAAGATTCACCAAGTATATTACAGACTGCTTAGTTGGCTGGATGGTTGTGTAGTTGAGACATTGGAGATCAGATTGGAGAACTCCATAAAAATGCATTTAACTATGGAAGAACATCAATAGCAGTTGACAATGTAAAGATGATGGAGAAACCAAAAACTTACAAAGGGAAAAACAGTTAAACAAAAAAAAATTAGATAGGAAAAAGCCGTTTGTTGTAAATCCACTGGACTGTTTGTTTATACCATTTTCTCACATTTTTATATATTTCTGATCTTACATCAATAGCTTTCATTGACAGCTAATGACCACTTGAACTTATAACTTCTCAAGCAATTTAATTCTTAGTTTGTTCGGTTTGAATAACAACAATAATAATAATTTGGTTTAGATATATTGCTTTTTTCATATCCGTAAGAATTTAATGTCCCCCTAGGTCTCAAATTTTTATTCTCACTCTACTTCTTGGTCCATCTCTATATAATTTTTCCATTATTTCTTTTAATGAAAGAATTGTATGATTCACAGTCATTCTTTCCTTTTAAAATAAATCTCAACCACACAACTTCAAAGTCAAATGAGAAGATAAAATAGGGACGGAGGGAGTATCCAACACTAAACTTCAATAATTATATGTTAATATTTCTGGCAATAAAAATACCGGAATGTACCAATAAATTGAAACCTTTTAGAATACAAATAAGGATTCCCAAACAGAAAATTAAATTTGATAATCCAGAATTGAAATTTTAGCGATTTCCTAAACACTGAAACTGGAATTGTATTTCAAGATCTAGAGTTCTAGAATACAATTTTAGAAATTCGATTCCACAAATGCAAGCACTAACTTAAGTTCTGAAAAAGCCTGTGCACCATAAAATGCAATTATACACTACTGTTTTCACAAACTCATCTGCAACATACCTTAGAAAATGGCTTGAATTTCACACCAAGTTGGGAGCTTGAAAACTATATGAGATCAGGAAAGAAAGAATTGAAAACATGAAATAGGAAAAGAAAAACAGGGGTCATACACAGGCAAAATTAAAAATAAAAATAGAATGAAACATAAAACAATTTGGAAAATTACTTGAGAAGTAAAACGCTCATCAGTAGACCAGAAAAGTCGAATATCTGGAATATCAAACAGAACCATCGCCAAACGTTCCAGTCCAAGTCCAAAAGCCCAAGCAACGTCATCCATTCTCCCATTTCTTTTCAGTATTTCTTGCTCTGTTACCCCACATCCCAATACTTCCATCCATTTCTCCTGGTAAATAATTCAAATACAAGGAGACGCTGAGATACCCTTCAAGTTCATAAAAGTGATATATACATGAATGTTAAGGGACTTTAACATTCACCGAGATTTTTATTCCTTTGAAACAGTAAAGTGCTAGAACATTCAGGTGACCTATTTATTTGTTCACATTACCTACAGTGTTTTAACTGAAAACAAAAAACCGCATATAAAAAGTAAATACCACACTTAATGGAAATAGTTGTTGTACTAGATGAGCATCTTCATAATTATTGAGCTCGGATCACAAATTGTGAAATAATAAGACCTAAAAGAGAACCAAACTGCCAAGAAATCGCTAATGGTGAAAGACTCAAAGCATGTGTCTTTAATGTAAAAGAAATCTACAAAAATAGCTTAACAGCCTAGAAAAACTCTCTATGACTTTGATGCTTTACTGCCATAGTCAGTTATTGGATTTGCGTTTCTGGCGCCGGTCGGAGCAAGTTAGCACAGCAAACCACCACAGGTTCCGATGAGAGGCTCTGCTACATGGTGTAGGGCTCTAAGGTGGTATACTAGCAGATTCACCTCAGTCAAAGTCACTTGAGCTCACTACCAAAGCTTCCTCTTATCTACTATGATAAGGAGTCAATTCCCTAAATAGGACTAAAAAGTGGCAAAATTGCACAAATAGGACTACATTTTTTAATTTCCCTTAATAGGACTATTTATGTGTGTATGGACAAATATACCCTTGTAGCTTGTGAAATGTTTTAATTAATAATAAAATCATAAAAAAATAATAAAAATTGAAAAAAAATACTAAAAATCGTAAAAAAATAATAGAAAACTAATAAAGATATTTTTGAAAAAAATATTTTTTTTAAATAAAATTAAAAAAAATTGTAAAATAAAAAAAAACATTGCCACCCCCTGCCACCCCCAGCACCACCACCTCCCATCACCGGAGAAAAATATGCCAACATTTTAAATAATGCCATAATGATGGCATATTCAATAAAAATGTTGGCATATTGAAGAGTAATTATGCCATCTTTTCGGCATTTTCAGAAAAAGATGGCATTTTTTTTACCAAAAGTGGATGAAATTTCACCAACCGGAGGTGGTGGTGCTGGAAGGCGGCAGGAGGTGGTGGGAAAGGTATCCATAATTTTTTTCATTTTTTTGGGTTGTTACTATTTTAATTATTTTTCAAAAAAAATAAAAATTAAATTTTTTATTTCATAAATATTTTATTAATATTTAATAATTTTTTTACGTTTTTTAAATATTTTTTACGTTTTTTATGATTTTATTATGAATTAAAGCATTTCATTATGAATTAATACTCTTAGGGGTATTTAGGATAGAAAATCAATGTTTAGTCCTATTTAGGGAATTTAAAAAGTAGTAGTCCTATTTGTTTTTTTAGGAACTCATTAGTCCTATTTAGGACAATTTCCATATGATAAGGCGGTTCTCTTCTCTATTAGTGATGTTCCATGTCCACGCTATTCAGCTTGCTAAACGGCTAAATCTACTGCCAATAAGACTGCTGAATGTAGCCCAAATCTGTGCGAAGTTAGACATACCTATGCCTAGATTGGAAGATATTCAGCTAGGTATGGGTATTCGATGACTTGGCAAAATATTTGGGAATGAATGGGTTCAGATGCGGCAGTTGAGACTAGGGAGGACACTTGACAGGTGGTTGAAAAAGACAGCCAGGTGACCCAAACATTCTGAACAGTGTGACTGAGACTTCTAAAACAATTAATCAGGTGGTTCCAGAGGAATATCATCGTCTGCTTGTTAGTATTGTGGGAACTCCACTAAGCACTACATGATTGTTTGACTGTCTAATGGATCATTAGGACAAGATTTCTCGGACTGACCAGGATCAATAAGAAGAGCAACCGGTAAATGATATCCAAGATCTCCTTAATCAACTGTTAAGGTGGCTGAGGAAGATGAAGGATATGCTGAATCTCAACCTGAGGGCAAATCTAGTGTGGAAGGTAAGAGAAAGAAAAGGGGAGAGGGGTCAGCATTTCAAATGTGACACCTCCAGGCTCCAACCAAACTCGCCTGTAGTCGTATTCCCTTATTATTTCAGAGGAGAAGAAAGGGGAGGGGTCATATTTACCTTAAAATTATTTTTACATTCAGACAAATGGAAATGAAGTGAAGATAAACAAATACATAAAAATACACGATCTAAGTAATTATATAGTTAATTGTAGTCTAAAACTAACAAATTCAGATAAATTAGTAAAACAAAAAATCAATCATATCCTCCCTTTGAATCCAAAATCTTCAAACCAAACAAGCCCTAAGTTTTCTGAGGTGGATGATTCTGAAAAAGTGAGATTCTGAAAACCTCTATCAATTTCCGATAGGTAGGGGTATGTCATTTTGGTCATTAACGGCCTGTTTAAATGGAGTGTTGGAAGGTGTTAGTAATGGAAGTGTTAGAAAGTGTTGGCATAGGCCCGGAAGGTAAGGTAAGTGCAAGACATAACTTAACTTGTTTGGGGGAGCATAAAAATGTAGTGTTAATAAAGGAAGCGTTTTCATATAAATTGACAAAAATATCCTTATACTTTTTAAATTAATTATTTGTATGCTAGCGGTGACATTAATCTTCTTCTTCCTTCGGGAAAAGTTACCAAGTCCAATTTGAAGGGCCATTCTCTTTGCTTGCTTTGGTTTTGTCATTTCATAAGTAGCCGACCTCTTCAATTCAATGGAATAGTAACATTCCAACTTTCACATTTATCCAATTTAATAGGATTTTTAATACCAGAATTATAGCAAGAAGTTAAATATTCCTCATATGCTAATAAATCTATATTACACCTTTCAAACTTTCCCAGTAATAAATAACTAAGTAAGAACAGAAAAGTTAAATTGAAAATTATAGTGGAATAAGTGAATAACTAGAGTGTTGAACAGTAAATAGGTGGATGAAATGCCAAATACAACAATCTTGTATGAAGGAGTAATGGAGAGGGACAGATGAGATGGCCACCTGCTACGCATGAGAATAGAAGAACAGCCAATGCACTTGACCAATGAGCACAACAGCAAGAGAAAGAATGTCGGGTTTTATTTTTTCACGTAAATGAAGGGTAGTATATGTCTAACACCTCCTTACACCCCAAATTGGGGTGTTAAAAATGTGAGCAATTGAGATCTTGAGAAGGTGATTCTTAACACTTTCTAACACCCTTATTTTTTTAAAATTTCACATCCAAACAAGTGTTAACCTCAACACTTCCAAACACTTCCTTTACTAACAGGGCGTAAGGTCCAATGCCTGTACATAAGTATCATTATCGATTAAACCTCCGGTTCTAATTACAGTAATAATAGGTGAATTACACATGAAGTCAATAAAATGCATGATAAGCATCACAGAGAAAAGTTAAAACCCGTTAAAACAGTAATATAAGGAGCAAATTTACTAACTTATTAGAAAATGATAAAGTAATAATTATCAGACGTCAAATGTAAACATATTATAAACCTGAAAATATATCTCCAATTCAAATGATGGATTAGTAAAGGGGAAGTATGTGTCAACCCATCGCATTTCCACACCACCTGGAGAGTATTTAAAAACATAGGCTAGTAAGTGGTAAGTTCTAAGATTATGATAAGTAGCAAAATCTTGGAAGAAAGCAAATTCGCAAGAGGCTAGAAAGAAGACACTAGAGCATTCTATCAATGAAATTATCAATTGAAATGATGTTGGCTTCATAACTCAAAGAGGAGAAGACAAAGATACACAAGAGTATTTAACACATTGAATAAATAATAAAACATGACAGTAATTTGCACTTTCAGATCCAGGCAGACACAATTTCCATGATACCGGACATTGCCTCCATGATAATTAGATATACAAAAAATGTATCTAACAGCTGAGAATGCAGTTAGAACCATTAAAATCCCATTAGCAGTACTCAAAAGAAACACAAATGGATCTTGTGAAATAAAAATGCATCACGATAAACTCCGATTTAGCACTCAAGTTTAATTGTCTGCTGCTGGAACTTTGAACTAAAAGTATACCAAATAAATGTCGTGCCAAGCCCTCAAGACAAATCTTTAGATCTGCAGCAGCATAAGATGTGGCATTAAGCCCTGATCCCTCCCAATCTTTTGCAGATAAGACCCGTACCCCTTCCATCTACATAGGTTGGGTGAGAATTGTCAGTAACAACAATCGATGTAAATTCCATCCAAGATAAATAAAAATCAATGTCAATCTTCAGTGTTTGGCTGGTATTGCAGAACCATGAATCACTTATTCGGACTCCTTGAATCAGTTTTGGAGAAATGAGAGATGCTTCCCCCAAACTGATTATGATTGTAGCGCATGATCCAAACATACAATCCCTAAAATATAATCATGTGTGTTCATTTATGTAATTAATATATTATTTATTTAAAAAATATATAATATTAATTAAAAATAAATGCTATATATATGCATATATATACACATATAAGTGCATATATATGCATGGATAGATACATACTCCCTCCGGTTCTTTTTAAACTTCACAGTTTGACTTTACGGTTATTAAGAAAATAAATTTGACTTTACTGTAGAGTACACTGTTAGGCACTGTTTGGCACTGTTTAGCACTGTTTTGATGTAGATTTTTTTGCCAAATAAGGAAATAAGGAAGTGTGAAGTTTATTTTGGACCGTCCCAAAAAGGAAAGTGTGAAGTTTATTTAGAACCGGAGGAAGTATAAATAAATTCAGATAAGTGATAAATATGGACACAAAAATGTATTTATAGAAGCACAATATGAACTTTCTTGACCCTTTTGTATCTAAAAAAGAAACAAATTAAAAAAGAAGCTTATTCAAAAAACACCACGGAGACTCTCTATTTCATACAGCAAATCTAAAAAAGAACCACTTTTTCATGTAGTAGAAAATTATTATTCTCATTTATAGAACAGTAAATATCAACTCAAACACCCCTTAAACACAACAATATCAATGAATAGGTACCTCGATACCTGGTGGAATACTGGGTAGTGAGTTGAGTCAATGGAATCTCTGCGGTAAACATCTCCAGTCACAAGGAAATGAGTATGGCCCTTACTCAGTATATCAGCTTGATGTGCACTTGTGTGGCACCTCAAAACAGTTTCAGAGTCCACATAATACGTATCATTGTAGCTCCTGCTAACGTGATCAGCAGGTACCAGTACATCATCGAAGTTCTGCAATTGTGTGCCCAGTTTTAATATGCATGTCAAGTATCATTTGTCCAAAAACAATGAAAGAAATTGCATTAGAATGTCACAAAAGAGTGCTTCAAAAGACAGATAGATGCACTTAAAGTTAATGAAGTAGCCAAAGCCTTCTATCCAAGACCTCATAGTCTAGTAAAATCAGATAATAACTCTACATAAGGGAATGTTGAATGAATGACAATTGACAAGATAATTTGTTCCCGCATACATGATGCAAATTTTGAATAAACTTCACATAGAAATAAGAAAGGGAATGACAGTACATCTGACAAAAATGCATTGTATGGATATGGCTGTCATCATGGTGATGTTAAAAGTTTTTCAATAATGTCAAGAACTCTTATAAGCACAATTTCAACTTGTACTATGGAACAAAACATTGGTAAGCTGCTGTATATCCAATCAAATTCTAGTTTAATATAGTATTAAACTAGAACTTTCATCATAAATGGCAGACCATGATCTTTCTAGTCTAGTATTCTTAACCTTAAAGATGTTCGGTTTATTAATACATAGATGAGCTTTGCCTTGGCCAGGTTTTGATAATAATAAAATATCCCACAAAATGTCCTACACTTGTAACTTCCCATTGTTTTTTTCTTTTTTAAAAACTCTGTAACATTTTGAAACTCATCATTCTTCATTCTTATGAATTACGAATTCCAAACAAAACCATTGCGCTGCCATCCTAGGCAATAAGATAAGAAGTTCAATACTTTTCGGGTTCTGACTTCACATCAAGGAGAACAATAAGATTACAGAGTTATAAGGAGATCGCACATTAGAGAAAAGACAAGAAAATGCTCATGAGAGATCAATTTAGCATAGCATTCAAGAAAATGGTATGCGAAAAAAATCTTTTTCATCATTCATGATTCTTGCACATTTTTTTGGAAGTCATGGTCTTTCCCTGAAGAAAGAGAAAACAGGACCCCAAATTGAATTTTTTACGGGTTTAAGTTTTAAACGTCATCCAATACAACAACCACAACGGAAAAATGACAACAACAGTATAACTGAAAGCTCGACTCACTACTTGAAGAATGTGAAATGAAATGTACGACAAGAGAGCAATAAAATATGATGGAAACTCTCGATCAACCCTACCTGTTTAACAGAAACAATAGGGCACAGATCATCGAACTTGTCAAATTTATTTGGATAATTAGTGTCAAAGTAATCATAGATTGCATTCTTCAAGATACCAAGTGGATGCTGATCTCTCCTATGAAGGTGCATTCCCAACTTAGAGAATATTGTATCTGGGATGTTGTTTGTAGGGTCATCCCTCACGATCTCTGCATATTGAATAATATATATGATGAGCTCCCAATTATATAACAAAATTACTTTGGAAACAAAATTATAGAGTACCCTGTACACCTACATATAACAATTACACACACACATTGTTTGAGCTTACTTTAGTTGCATATAGTAAGCATAGACATACGGCATAGCAATCAATTAAAATTATACAAAAATATCAACAAAACTGTAAATGAAAAGATTGTGAATGAAGTACAAGTAATTTTCTAGAAGAAGGGCATATTTAATTTTATCTTCAAAACATATGAACCGAAATGAAAGGCACCACTTTACGCTTTCAAAAGCATAAGAAAAAATCAGCAATGACACATAATATAGTGAATAACTAAACCAAGATATTCTCACTTATCACAGAGTGCAATCATTAGAGACCCAACATTCAATATGGAATACAGCAATTATCATCATTGCAGTATAAAATTATTTTGCAGCTTACCATCCCTGGAAATATTGAGGCCACCAAGCTCAAGGGCTGAAGCAACTGGCACCCTTCTCTGCTTATCACGGTGGAAGGCGGCTCTGTTATCTGCAGGCGTAGTACCAACATGATGTGATGATGGGAAAGAAGTAGAGAAATAAGCAAGAGTTTTACATCCCTTAAGGAATCCTCCATTTCTGCGGATGAATATAGAGGGCTTGATTGCGATGAAGAAGGTTGATTGAGCTAATGAGAGGGCCATAGCATCCCTCTAGGGACTGGTAGACTGGAAAAACAATTTAATTTTCGTTTGAGAAATTATTGTTATTTTCGGGAAAATTGAGATTTTTCTTAGGATGGAAGCTGAAGTGCTAAACCGTAGGACTGGAGTTCAGAAGTTTCTGGTTGGAAAGGGCTGAAAATAGTTCCTTGGTCGTATAGTTATATAGTTATGCCCAGGCAATTTTAAAATGACTACTTTGCAACTGCTTTTTCTTATTATGTGATTTTGGAAAAAGTGATTAGTAGTAAAAGTTGATAGTGTTTGAGAAAAAATTGATTTTGAAAAGTAAAATTTGGTAGCGTTTGGTAAAATAAGTGTCTTTTGTGTAATAGAAAAAGTAAAAAGCACTTTTCAATTCACGCGAAAACCGATAAACGTTTTTTAAGTAGAACTTGTCATTTGAAAACACTAATTTTAGTTTTTTATGCCGTAAGCCGAGAAATGCTTTTTTAACCTATTGCAAATAGGGCTGAGCACGGATCTGGGAATTCCCGTTCCGTACCGAAGAACCGTCCCGAACCGTTCCAGAACCGATAGAACCGGAAAAATGTAAAACCGTACTGTACCGTACCGAGCTTTTTTAATAATATGGTACGGTACCGGTTCTTAGTGAGAACCGTTCTGGAACCGTCCCAGAACCTTATTGTCCTGAATCGTCCCGTACCGTCCCGAATTGTCCCGAAAACAAGTGTTAGATTATAATAATATATTATACATAATATATTACCCGAGTATAAATGTTAGTGACCATATGTCCCAAAAACTAGTTTTATAATATAATAATACTACGTATATTCTATATAACATATTATCAAGTATAAGTGTCACGAATCGTATGTCCATATATTACAAATATGCAATCTTGCATATTCTTTGGGCGTAATCCAATTATTAAGACTTGACAGCACTAAAAGTTAGCTTTAAAACAAAAACAATACTAAATGATATAAACAATGCTATGTAAATAGGGTTAATTATATTTCATGGAGGTTAATTATTTGCGAACCAAATAACACCGAAGAACCGTACCGAACCGTACCGAACCGTGCTGAAAATTGGTACGGAACGGGACAGGTTCCATATATGTCCGGGACGGTACCGGTTCTTGATTTTTAAAAGAACCGTACTTTGGGACGGGACAGGTTTTTTGAAATAACCGTCCCGTACCGTTCCATGCTCACCCCTAATTGCAAACACTCCCTAAGCTATGTTGTAAAAATGGGACAAATTATCGGGTCACGGGTCAACCCGGACTCGACAAGTCTGCCCGGTCAACGATCGATAAACCTGATCAACACGTGACACAAAATATATACGGCCTATAATTATGTATTCCCTTTATCACGAAAACAAGTTCCTGGTTTGACTTCACATGTTTTTAGGTATAATTGAAAATAAAGTTGATTTTTCACTTTACCTTGCTTTAATATTTGTTGTGATCAAATGAGTTGAAGAAAGATGAGAGAATGAATAGTTAAAGAGGGCAAAACATGTCCATTCCAATAACAATTCATTATCAATCACATCACAATTTCACTCACCACACAATTTAGTCGGCTTAAATTAGCCATACACTAGAACCCCCCCCCCCCCCCCCCCTTTCAGATTCCCCCAGATAAAAATAGCACAACCAAGTTTGTATAAATACACATAAAGCTTCTTTTTCAGTCTGTACTTCTTCCATGTGCCCCTGTCTGAAATGGACAATTCATGTGACCGATCTACTGCACAAGAAAGCTGGAGTTTTGACCTAAATTTGCCACCTCCAACTCAAGGTACTTTGTTACTTTCACCTACATTAACACAAATACAACAAGGGGGGATTAGTTGAACAATCGGGTGTGGCCAGAAAATGGCCTAAACTTACTAATAAGCAAAGAACCAGAATCGTGAAAATTTTGTTAAGCAATTCACAAGAAGGTCAATTTCAGAGGGGCTTATTGACCTAAAAAGGTTTGGAATACACACTTGATTTGGTCTATGATTTTTAATATTGGATTTTTAATTAGATTTTAGTTATGTGCCCTATGGAAACCCTAGTAGTATTGGGTTTAGCCCATTTGTATATCTTGTATAGGAAACCCTAGTGCTCTAAATATAGCTATAATTACAACTTCTTGTATATCATATAATATCACGTATATGAAATACAACAATACTTTTCCACATGGTATCAAAGCCTATATGGCAAACAGTAGTTAGGGCATTGGTTTCAGGTGAACATTTACAACATAATTTCAGGTGTGAAGGGTAGCTGCGATTGGCGTTGGAGCACACTTCCAGTAGTGATATATCCAATCTACACCTACGCCTTGCTTAGCACACCATCGTGACCAACCACCTGGAACAGTACCGGCACAGAGGCTCCCACACGCCCTCGCGCGCCTCCGCCCCTTCCTGCAGCTCACTAACCTATTTCCAGATCTACTCTGTTCTACATATCTGGAGCTCGCACAGCCGACACCCTAAAGATCTGGAGTTTCAAATGACCAGAACAACATAACTTAGGCAATAGGCACTCATCGAACATCCACGTGCCGCCGCCAAATCTATGTGTTGTCGCCGAACACTCGAGCCGTCGTTGTCACTTTGTCCGTCCGTCGCTGCTCTACCCTGTTCAACGAAGACAGGTTTGTGTTGTGAACTTCAGCTCTCTTCTGCCGCTACTGCCAAGATTGACTTCCTAGTTCTCTCTTTCATTCAATGTTTATAGACTATAAGAGCAGTATTTCCTTTTAATTTACTCATATTCACCTTTATGACAAAAAAAAAAGAAGAAAAAGAATATGTCTTTGGGGTTCTCTCTATTTGCTTCGGTTCCAATTATCACAACCGACCGTTTGGTTGGAAGTGTTAATTATCAATCATGGGTTATTCCCGTGGAAATGTGGTTCAAAAGTCAAGGATAAATTGATCATTTGCTTAGTGATGCCAATTCAATCACGGATAAGAAGACGGAATGGGAGAATATGGATGCACTTTTGTGTAATGTTTTTAATTTGGCAATCCATGGATTCCATACTTCATCTTACATATCAATCATATCGGACGTGTAAACAAATTTGGGGAAAAGCCAAGTCTAATCACACAAATGATATCCAAAGCCTGTTTTCTTTCAGTTCAAAGATTGCCACGCTCAAGCAACAAGAATTAGACATCCCAGACTTTCAAGGTCGAGTTTAGGCATTACTATTTGAGTACAATACCATTTAACCAATCACAGAAGATAGAGAGAAACATTTAGAACAACGATAACAACTTGTCATGGTTCTAGCTTAGGCAGGCATTCGCCCAGAGCTGTTATCGACACACGAACAAATTCTTTGCACGACCTCGATATCTGTTGAACCTAGTTCTAGTGACTCTATCATTCTTGCATCCCAAGGTACGAATCCTGATGGCGGAAACCACAGAGGATACTCACGACGAAACTGTCCTAAGTGTGACTTATGTCATAAGATTGGTCATATTAAAGACAGATGTTGGAAGTTACATGGGGGACCTTCTAGCTCAGCCAATGCTGCTCAGGTCCCGCCATCTTTAGTTATTCTACCTCCAATCGAATATGCAGCATACCAGAGATTTAAGTAAACTCAGATGCCTTTATCTACACCTTGTACGTCTACCGCTTATGTTTCAAACACAACGGGTTCATGGATCCTTAACTCCGGTGCCCCAGACCATATTTTAGGTAATCCCCATCTTTTATCATGTATTACCAAGCACCAACACCATCCTTTAATTACTCTAGCTAATGGCCTTCAAACGTCGGCCACAGGTATTAGGCAAGCACTACCATTTTCATCCTTGCCATTAGACTTAGTCTTATATGTTCCTTGTCTCCGTCAGTAAAATTACTTATGCTCTTGATGGTTCTATAACATTTTTTTGCTAATTCTGTGACTTTGCAAGACCGTCGTACGGGGAAGACGATTGGAATCGGGCATGAATCTCAAGGCTTTTATCATCTTCATCCTCTTGATCCAATCATATGCATGTGTCTCAGTTGAATCTGCAATTATGTTGCATAACCGTTTGGGCCATCCTAGCCTCTCAAAGTTTCGATGTATGGTTCCAGGTTTCTCGAGTCTTTAATTTCATCCTTAGATTGTGAGCCATGTCACCTTGGGAAGAATCCTCGTAAATCCTTTCCAAGTCGGGTCAATAAACGGGCTGATCCCCCCTTTGATTTAGTTCATACAGATGTATGGGGTGCGTATCGAGACACTTCTACTCTAGGATTTCGAGATTTTGTTGTTTTTGTGGATGACTTTTCCCATCACACATGGTTGTTTTTTATGAAAGACCGTTTTGAATGATTTCATATTTTTCAAAAATTTTGTGCCAAAATTCACACTGAGCCTAGCCACTCTATCAAAATTTTACGCAGTGATAATGCTAAAGATTTTTTTCCGACACCCTTTAATCAATTCATGAGATCACGGGGTATGCTTCACTAATCTTCTTGTGTACGCATGCCTCAACAAAAAGGGTTGTTGAACGCAAGAACCGCCTGCCACTTAGTTGATATTTCTCGTAGTTATTACATTCACATACACCATCTCAATACTGGGCAAGTGTTGTACTCACTGCGTGTCATTTAATAAATAGAATGCTTGGGAAAAATAAAACTTGGTATAGCAGAGAGAGTCGAGAGCTCCGGAAGTGTTCCTCACGCAGGTTGTAAAATGGGATCCGTCGATCTCTGGCTCGGTGGTGTTTGAGTTTGATTTTCTTGGGTTTATTGGTCATTTTTCGCTTCTGATTCCATTTCCGAGCTCGGATTTGCGATTGGAATGACGATTTAGGGCCAATAACTCAAAAACTGAACTAGGCTTCACCATTTCATTGTTCACTGAGAGATCGATTTTTGACAAATACTTCGAGTTAGGCTTCTATTTCTGGTTTTTGGAGTTGCTTGATGTTCGTCTTTCTCAGCCGCACCTATACACCCTGTTCTTGAGCGGAGTGAGGTTGGCAGCTAATAAGCGATTTTTGGTCACTGTTCACCCTCGTTCGTGTTGTTCGATGCTGCAACCTCCGGCTATGGCGAGTAAGAAACAGGGGTCCGTCGAGCCATCTACGCTACGAACTAGGTCCAGGTTTGCTCTCCTTGCTGAATCAGACGAAGAGTTCCCTGCACTAATGTTGGTCTTATGGGAGATCAGCACC